CCTTACTGGGTACAAGCATTGCACATTTACCCTAAATCCAGTAGTGTGCTTGGTTGTACTACCAGAATTGTGGGGCAGATGGCACTCTTGTGGCTTGACTTTCAGACCACAGGTGCTGGTTGACTTTACAGAAAGACATCCATATTCCCCACTCAACTGATCAACTGATCCTTCTCCTGTCTGCGGTAAGGACAAAGCCACATGGTCTACAAAGTATATTGCTGATCCCTTTGCTCACTGCTGTTAAGCTGACGACAGAACGGGGCATCTTACACTTCCATCTTTTTTTTAAAGCAGTGGCCCTTGAGAGTCCCTCTCTCCTTCCATCACAGCTTTTGGACTCAACTGCTTGGACTTTTATTTTATTTTCTTCCTTGTAGAAAATCCTGTTCGGTAGCTGACCCTCTCTTTGCATGTCACCTTTCAGAACCACAATCTCTTTCTTAGCTTCCTTTTTATAGTGGGTGAGGGAGAGCAGCCCAGCTAGTAGAGCTGAGGGAATTCAGTGTGAGGTACAGTACTTCTCCTTTGAGCCTCACAACAAATTCCCAATGTTAACAGGCTGGAACCGCCAGTGACCTTGGGGGCACTAATGTAGTAAAAGATGGGCACTTTTCTTCAAAAAAACAGAGAGAATTCCTAAATTAGTTATTAACGTATGACTTATGCACAAAATTGCATGAATTAAAGCTCTGATCTAGAATTCTAGTATTCAAAAGAGTGTTGAGGCCTAGGATTGTCTGCAGCTTCCACAATCATCTATTGCCTCTCATTGTGATTCAGTGGTAAATGGAATGGAATGATCCTTAGACCTAGAAAAATCAAGAGGTGAAGGTTATAGATAAACTGATTGATTGCAGCTTAGCAGAACAAATGAAGAACTATGGTCTGTCTCCCAACCTGGGGTTTGAAACTAAATTCGATGAGAAGTGGCGTTTTGAATTTGCCAATACAAAGACCTAAAAGACCTGAATTGTTTGAAGTTGTGAACCTTCCCCTCTTTTTGGGAAGGAAGAAGGGGCACACTTTCCATGTAGATGGGAGCCTGAGGGAATCCACAGCACTGATGAATGGCCTCTGGCTCCAGGGGAACACAGATGCTGTTGTATTAATTTTAATGGCAGGTACAAGGAACATCCCTGGACTCTCCCGCCTTAATTCTCTGAGGTGACTGACATTAAAGATTTTTAGATCAAACTATGAAACCCGCTGAGTAAAACATTTTTCTCTATCTTTACTGTGAAGCCTATCCACAGTACTTCAATATTGCATTTTCTGTCTTCACTGACTGTTTTAGATATACTGTACAGTAAGTCGTTTGTCTTCTGTTCTAGTGTGCTGTTCTGTTATGCAAATTTCTTCTGATACTGCTGAAAAATACAATATATTTTGTTATTTATCTGAAATATCGTTGTTGTTTCCACTGTACTGTATGGTGCCACAAATCTACTGAAAGGTCAAGGGCATAGTGATATGAGAAATTCAACACCCCAATATCCTATCAACCTATGGTCAACTAGTAAGTAAGCTTATGTGATTACTGCCTATCTCAAGATGACTTTCAAATTACCTTTCATGGACCTTCAACCAGGTAAGTGCCCTCATAGAAACTATTGCCAACTGCACCTAATGGGAGAAGAGCTGTAAGCTTAAGGTATTTTAATTTTCTGTGTCATTTGTAGAAACCTAAAACCTTAAAAGTGTAGACAACGTTTTATAACACTATGACCACTACTGAATAATATACTATAGTGTAAGCTTCAGTAATCTAAAAATCCAATAAAAAAATATTTACAATATTTAAATACCTTGAAAGTATTTCAAGGTATTTGAATATTATAAATATTTAAATACCTATATTTAAATATTATAAAAATATAACACCAAACACATTACATCTATCATTTAGTTCATTGTTGTTTTCCTGATTATAAGGGTTATAATCCTGATTATAAGGAAAAGAGAACCACCCTGTCTTTTGAATTTCTTTTATCTTTGTGGTAATTAAAAATGAAAAGACTTACATGATGTACTGTATACAAATTTATTCCCATCTTTTTCTGCACTGTAATGTTGATCTCTAACAAATAGGCTCTTTTCTTTACATAAACCTAAGTAATCAAAGCTGGAAAAAATGCTGCTCTCCTTCTTATTTTGCAACAGCACTTTCACAACAGGGCCTATTTTTCCAACAGCTCATCAGTGCTTATCTTAAGCCTTAGTCAACACTGTACTCTGTGAGTTCACACTGAATTCACCATCATGTCCAGCATCATAGACGATGGGATAACTGTATGATGCACTGGTAGATAACTATATTGGGATTTCAGCTGTCTTGTTTTGTTTTTGATTTGCCAGGTGGACACGGCTCACACACATCTAATAACATTTGTGTAGAAATATCTAAATAAATAAATCATTCTAACTATATAACACCAAACCAGATGGGACTCTTTATTTATGCTTAACTGGATGCCCATTTCATGCCGTCCTAACATCTATCTTGCCAGTTTTTACACAGCTACCATTTGGGGCATTTGATTCCTTTTCTGTTATGTTTATAGAGGGTTACAGAAGTGATGAATGTCCTGCACTCCTAATGAAGTTTTTGGTATGTGCACCTTCACTCAGGCGGAAAAGGGGGCTCAAGCAGGGCTTTCTATGAACACCCGCCATGTTATCAGTGTGCTTATTCATTGTGGCGCTAAGCAATACATTTAACAGATGGGTCCTATTCTCCAGTCTGCAGACCTCATTGTCCAAAGCCAACAGGCCAAATAGCCTTTTGGTTTTGTTCTTTTATCATCTCAAAACCATTTTTAATAACTGTATTTTTTATTTCCATCTTATCAATGTATTTTGTTTCCTCCTACTGCTTTTTTGAGTTTCCAGTTTTCTTCTTCCTATTTCTGACCCAAAAGCATGCTGTTGTAACTCTTAGTGCAGACAGAAATTATTTGGATCACTTTGTTACCCAAAATTCGTCCACTTAAATTAGGATACTGGAATTGCTTTTTACATCACTATTTACAAAGTCCTTGTTTCAGGGGTTTTTAACAGTCATGTTGTTTATGTGAGAAAGCAATCAAAGAAAGACACGAATATTAAACATATTTCTGTTCCTTCTAAAAAATACTACTTGTTTTCTGAAATGACATAGGTTTCCAATGATGTTGGTTATAGAAGGAGATCATTTGGTAAATACTCAAAGTCTAAGAACACAATAGATAAGAAAAGAAAAACAATTCTGTTAATTTCCCGGTGCTAAGATCTACGATTACAATTTCATTCACTCCATTTTTACAAGGACTTGGAACGACCTGAACATTATACAGTAAATGCGCTGTATAATAGTGTTGCCAAATAAACTCATGCAGGAGCTTCCACATGTCCTGATGTCCTTTACAACTGTGTTATATTTGATACAGTGGCATCCAAATTTATTCATATTCACATTCTTGGTGAAATAGGAATAAACAACACATTACAGAAATGTATCCAATCAATTAATTTTCTTGTATAACAAATTCTAAAATTTGCTACACTATAATCTGAATAGCAATGCACAGACCCAACTTTTTTTTTTACATGAATAATTTGATATATGTGAGATTTGGATTACTGTGAATCATTCTGCTGATGTTTCCAATGAAAAAGGAATGATGTTCCCTTATCAATGAAGTATGAATAAAAATGGAAGTACATTGCTAATTTGTGACATGTTGTGCTATATGTTACATCTTCAGTTACTGAATATGCAATACTCATGCTTATGTAAAACATGTGCAGGATGGATGCTTAAAGACAAGCTATGCACTCCAAAATAGAGTGAAAGGCTGTGTTTTATAAAATGGCAAACGTAAAAGGCTGTGTTTTAAATTCACAAGGCTTTACAAATCTCACACTAAATAGGTACCTCCAGTTTAAACACACAAATTGGAAAACAATGGTAAATAAATGCCCTTTAAAAACATAGAAATGCTCATGCTATTTAAGTCATCTGATCTACTGGTAATCAGCATCAGAGACGATCCGCTATAGAACAGTACCGACTTGGCGCCCTATTGAAATTGAGAGAAAACTATCTGTGTGTTTCAAGGGACAGCCCCTAGGCAGACGCACAGGAGCCCTGAGGCTTCCCGCCAGGCCTCAGGCCAAGACACATCTGCTTTTTACTTCTGTGTCCCACACAGGCATAGCATACAGAATTTCTATCACAAAATGTTCT